TCTCTCTCTCTCTCTCTCTCTCTCAACCCCATTCCTTCTCTCTCTCTCTCTCTCTCTCTCTCTCTCTCTCTCTCTCTCTCTCTCTTGCAACTCGTACGTTGGTATGTGACAGCAAGAACCAGTTTGGTTTCCCTAAGTTGTGTGCTTCCCAGCACAACCAGTGGTCTCTTACTGTTGTTTAGAAAAAACCAAGAAAGTGTGTATTTACACACTTGAAGGGTGAAAGAAAGTAAACAGAAAATGCCTGCTCTCAGGGGAGTTACTCGACCCCAGAGGGAAGCCAGAGCGACAGGAGAGGCCTTCTAATTAGACCCCAGACTTGGCCTTTACCATGGGGCAGGCATCCAGCTCTCAGAAGCCCAAGTTCTTTCTGGTCCTTTTTTTAAATATTTATTTTGTAGTTATAGGTGGGCACAAAATCTTTATTTTTATTTTCATGCGGTGCTGAGGATCGGTGCCTCACGTGTGGTAGGCGAGCGCTCTACCTCTGAGCCCCAGCCCCAGCCCGGGTCCTTTCTTTTAAACAGTTCTCCACGGCTGCCCACTTCTCCCCAGACTCTCTGAACAGATGACGCAGTGCCCAGACTGGACAGAGTCCATGCCCACCAAGTCAAGCTCTTCAGGCTGATGTGACACCAGAGAGCCACATRCTCTGGCTAAAGTGCTAAGTAAGCTCTGTAATGGCGACTCGCATCTTCAATTCCAAATTTGTGTACAGAGCTCCAGCAAGCACCACGCTGACCAGGTGGACTCCCTCCTTTTTGTGCATGGGCAGAGTGTATGCCAATAAAGTTTCTCCTTATTTTTTGGCCTCAGGAGTTTGCCGCAGTCACATTAGTCATGCCGAGCATGATGTGTRCGGACAGGATATGAAAAACTGTTGACAAAACTATAAAATCCCAACAACCCCCTTTCCTTCTATCGCAGGCAAAAGTCATCTTTTAAAATGCGCTGGGTCTGTCTTTGCTGAACAGTCATAGAACACCTGCTATCTGCTGAGCTCTGGAGATCAGAAGCTAGTTCATCTCCAAGCAGAGCATTTGCATCTTTTAAGATTCTAACAAGGGAGATAACTACATGACATAAATATATGCACATCAAGGTCACGGACTGCAAAACTGTTCAGCTTGAAAACAGGCAGCGTGTCCACCTGTGGTCAGAGAATGCCGGGGATCACTGCAAAATGACGATGCTCTGACTTGCTTGAGTTCTGGGATTACGGCATTTTCTTATTCTATATTTCTTATTTTAGGGAGCATTATTGTAATGTCTTGCAATATAAAAATATTCTTTTATGTAGCCTTGTTCATGATATCCAATTTCCAACAWCCCAAATAGTAAGTCCCAGAAAAATAATCTGAATTTACTTGGTCTCCAAATTTTTCTATCTTTTCCTCCAAAGTTATTTTTTCAGTTTTTTACGAGGGCTCCACTTTGCAAGGAAAAGTCATAAAAAATTCTCATTTTCTTACCAGCTTTATGTTTTCATTTTAATGCTATTCTTAAAAACGTATTAAGGAATATTTAATGCCTGTCATCCCAGTGGTTTGGGAGGCTGAGGCAGGAGGATCACAAGTTCAAAGCCAGCCTCAGCAACAGCAAGGCACTAAGCGACTCAGTGAGACCCTGTCTCTAAATACAAAATAGGACTGGGGATGAGGCTCAGCAGTTGAGTGCCCTTGAGTTCAATCCCTGGTATCTCCCCCCAAATAAGATATATTCTGTGATACAAGAATCAATTCAATGGAACTCTCTCTTGCTAGGTCATGCCCCAGGTGACTCCTCCAGGGAGGGTTCCCCAGTAGCTAACAAGGTCACCAGAAGGTCATGTCYCTTTAAGAATGAAGCAGGTAAGAACATATGTTAGACACCAGAATAATCACGAGGAATGTTTAATGTCATAAAGGTGACAGCTGGATCTCCAAATAAAATGTTCCTAAAATGTTCTTCAGTGCAAACAGCTCTCTAAAAGAAGAGGTTCCTCTTTTGGGACCTTCCATCTCCCCTCCCTTAGCACCCCTCCATTGCCCAGTCATTTGGATCTTAACCAGGGACACCTACTGGTCAAAGGATCAAGATACGGGCTTGATGAAGGGAACCGGGGAGCTGTTGAGKAGGATGATTTCTGAGACGTCTCTGTTGCTTACCCTCAAAGGACCTGAACATCACTCCCAGACGACGGCCRGGCCTTGGCAGAGTGTGATTAACCAGAAAAGCTAAGGATAAACYGGATGTGCGTTTTTGTTCTATTTTCACAGCCAAGCGCTCTGCATCTTCACAAACTGCTGATGAGCCCAAGTAATTTTAGTTCAAATCTCTGCTGACGAGTTTTATTCCCTTGGACGTCACAGACATTGCACTGCTATCCTAAAAGGACTTTGAGCGCATCCTTCGACCTCTTTGGAGTTTGTGTTAGGTCTTGAATATCTCTAGGTCTCTGGGGCAAAAGGGATTAAAAATATTCCCCACCATCCCAGAAAGCCACAGTGAGCCTGGCCTCACGCCACCTCTCTCCCTTGTACCCTTCGTCTCTCCATTCAGGCTGGGAGAGTTGGCAAGAGCCCCAGGGCTCCGTCACCCTCCACACAGCACAAGCCACAACCCTCTTTCCTTCTGGAGCCGTCACTGTGCCTAGGCAAAGGGCTGCGAGAGGGAGGCAGCCGTCAGRCTCAGGAGTGACTCCAGTTGGACACAAGTGGAGTGGAGCCCCATCTCCAGGGCTGCTGTCCCCTCACCTCCCTGGAGAAGGGATTTTTTGAGTCTGACAGTCAAGTCTTCTTAGAAACCTTAACTAGCATGGGCTCACCCTCACCCATGCCAACACTTCTCCAACTTCGCTCCGGTGAATCCGTGGCACAGAACCCTCTAACTCTGAAGTGACTCTTGGGCTGTATTRTAAATGCTACAGCTGGGGTGCAACGATCAAAGAGCAAAGAGGCAAAATTTCTGAGCCGTGAAAGGCAGTCACTGCTCTATCATGCACAAGGGCCAATGCGTGGAAAGAGGAAATCATCTAGAAGAGAGAACTGGAAGGGCCCAGAAGCTTGAGTGTCCACTGAGGTGGCAGAAATGAGGGGCAGGTTTCATGGACTTGCAAGGATAACAATGCTGATTCGACTCAGATTTCAAAAATTCTTTCAGCTGATTCTAAAAAGATGACGAGGATAAAATAGATATGATCATTACAACTGGGAGTGACAGAACTGTCAAATTAATAAAAATGTGTGTTACTGAGGCACGATCAAATTGACGTATTTTCAATCTGGATTGACATTACTCAAAGCACAAAGACCTACCCGGCACTAGATACTAGTAAATCTTGGGGAGGGGAGGCATCTTATACTCAATAAAATAAGGAAATGAAAATAGCACAATACAGTGGCAAAATCTAGAAGCCAGGCAGGCAGATGTAATCCCCCTGAGACTCAGCTTCCTCGTTGGTAAATTGGGAATAATGGTACTTACACACAGGTTGAGTGGGGGAAAAAAAATGTGAAAAACACCTACACACRGTTATTCCATAAACAGCAACTACTCTTTTTTAGGGTAAAGTGGTCTTCCTGGAAGTTACAGGTACAGGTGAGCTGGGCTGGTTGGAAGGGAGAGGAGRTAAACCAGGTGGGGTGCAGTGGGTTGGAAAAATAGGGACGATGAGGACAGCAGCTGATGCCCAAAGCCCCAGTCCTTCAGTCCATAAACAATAGATGATGCCCGGGGCTACCTAGCAGCTGGTGCTGGACCCTTCTGCAAAGGGCCAGTTCCCAGCCCTGAGTAGTCAAATGAATGAGCAGGCTGTCTGCCCAGGCCACACATGCACTTTAACTCCAGAGGCAGCAGCATAGAGTCCCTGAGCATCAACCATGGGCAAACCCTACACCTGACACTTGGCATAGAGGATTAAGCCCTGGTTGAGTTCCTTATGTATACCAATAGTTTTAAAAGCAGAAAAGGGAAACCAGACTCCTTAACTGGAAAACCAGATCTAGAAATGCAATTCATGCTTGACAAGTCAAAAAAATAAAGTCCTGTAGAAACATGAGGCCAGGGTCCAAGTAAAAAGCTCTCTGCTCAAAGCAGGAGCCATGTGAAGTCACAAAGTCAGACACCAATTCCAGTGACCCTGAAAGCACTTGGAAAGGTTTCAATATTTCCTCTCTGCAATTACCTTTAGACTGTTTCTTAACATTTCAAAGTGTGCATCTTTTTACTTTTTTAAAGAAAAATTTAATTTTCCCAATTAAAAAAAAATACTTAGAAACCAGCCTTAGTAGGTGGGCAAGGATATTGGGAGGGAAAACATGGCACATCTCTGAAGTAATGAGACTGATTGTCTTGTGCTCTTAACCCACTTGCCTTTGTGTGGCTGCCCAGCCCAGGCCCATGATGAAAGCAGGCTGAACTGCCAGTCCTCCTGCCACAGCCTGTGTGTGTCTCACACTAAGGCAYCTGGCAAATCTCTTTGGCTTCCCACCTTCAATACACACGGTACAGTGGCACTGTTCCACCTCATTTCCTAAATGAAGTTATGTGCCATGCTTTAGAAAGCTAAGAGGTTTAAGTGGAAGGGACACACTGTAGGAGATTTCATTGCTGGTGAAATACCTTTGGTGAAACACCTCTTTCCCTGCTTCCCTCTGCATGGACCAATAATCTTGGAATGGTAGCTGTTCCACTAGCCTGGGGCTATAGGAGGGCAGAGCCCTTCAATCTTTGATCCAACTCTTAACAGATATATAGCATGAGTGGAAATAAACCTTCATGATCTCAAGACTCTTAAGAACGGGAGTGGGAGATAATGGTTACTGAAGCTTAACCTGGCCCATCCTGACTAATACAGTGAGAAGGCAGCAGATCAGCAGTTCTCCAGCTGCTCAGGCTCTCAGTGGGATTCAGAGTGAGCGCCGCCTGCCTTTTCCAGGCATGCAGTGCAAACACATTGYTACTGTACTGTATTATGGTCAAAGCAAGTTCCAAACCATCTGAATCACTTTCGAATCACCCTGAGAGATGGCAACATTCGTTGACTATACAATGCTGCTATAAATGGAGGTTGCAAGAGCGAATACAAAATGGTGCAGCTACTCTGAACATGAGCGTGGCAGTTTTTTACAAAACTAAACATGTGCTTACTATTGACTCAAAAATTTCAGTTTTAGGCATTTGCCCCAGAGAAGTGAAATCATATCCACACAAACATCTGCATGTGAATGTTTACAGCAGCTTCCCTCATAACAGCCCCAAACTGTAAATGACCAATGGTCCTTCAGTGGGTGATTGTTACCAACCTTGATATATCTCTGCCAGGGACACTACTCGGCATCAGAAAGAAACAAGGTCCTGATGCATGCAACRACTTGGATGGACCTCAAAGGAATTATGCTTAGTGAACAAAAAGTCACATATGTGTACACACGTACACACACACATATACACATGCATAAACACACGCACATATATTGCATTTTTGAAATGACAAAGTGACAGATATGGAGAACAGGACAGGGGTTGGCAGGGAGAACGAGAGGGAGGGAGGAGTAGTGACTATACAGGGACCACACAAGGGATTCTTGAGATAGAATTGCGCTATCTCTTCACTGTGGTGGCTATAATATGAACCTACCTCTGTGATGAAATTGCATAGAACTAACTACGCACCAACACGAACATGAAAACCTGTGAAACCTGTGGAATCTGGATAAGGCCAATAGATTTTATCAGTGTTAATTTCCTGGTAGTGATATCATGCTACCACTATCCAAGGTTCTGCCATTGGAGGAAACTGAATGAAGTCTATATGAACCTCTCCGTGTTATTCTTACAATTGTGAATCTGGAATAATGCCACAAAGAAAATTATTTTTTTTTAAATATTCTTATTAGTTGTTGATGGACCTTTACTTTATTTATTTATTTACATGCAGGGCTGAGAATCAAACACAGTGCCTCACACCACACATGCTAGGCAAGCACTCTACCACTAAGCCACAAACTCAGCTCACACAAGGAAAAGTATTTTTTAGACATCTTATTAATAAAAACTATCCCCTTCACTCTCTATCCCCTTATGCTGATTTTAAGTTAAAGCACTTAAGCTACCAAATATCACAATTTAAATGTGTGTGTGTATTTATTGATTGATTGATTGGCCTTACTCATTGAATACAGTGTAAGTTCTATAAGGGCACAGACTTTGTTTCTTGTGTTACTGGCACCTAGAATGTGCCCAGCACACAACTGGTACATAATACATGTTCACCAAAAAAGTGAATCAATGAAATATGCACTGAATGAAGGAATGAGAATTCCCCATGGTGCTTTGCAGCACTTTCCAAATTTCTGAAAGCTGTAAAAGTACACATAATCATTCCTTCACCATTTTGCACATTTTCTACCTCTAAGAGTTAACAGCTCTCAAAGCAGAAATGTTTCTTTTCGAAGACAGAACTGTACCATATCTTCCCAAGGATGGAAGGCCTCCTTTACTAGCTTGCAATCTCCAGGGATTCCACCCTGCCTCACAAAGGTGACAGTGTGGCCTGAGTTCATGATTGCATACAAGAACTCACTTCAGGGCTGGGGTGCCGCTCGGGGCTAGAGCACTCGCCTAGCCCAGACAAGGTCCTGGTTCAAGCCCCTGTATCACAAAAAAAAAAAAAAAAAAAAAATCTTTTTAAAGGACCTTTGAGAACTCATTTCAGCTTTGATTCCACTGGGCAAGCATGAATTCAAGGTCAGCTTCATGGATGCTTTATAAACTCAAGGAAAAAAAAAAAACAAACACCTAACAGTAGTAAAATAAATGCTATTTTAACCATGGATCGTAACTGAATTTTAAAAATTACTTTGAGGCAGGGTGGGGGTTGGGGGTGTCACAAGCGTCCTCCCAATGAAGCTGTGTTGATTCCAAGGGAACAATTAAAGGATCACCAAAGCCAAGCTTAGGTCAGGAACTTGATACGAACTTTGAACCAAACAAAAGAACAATTTGTCCTAACTCACAGGCTCAGAAACCAAACCTTAATACGAACTGTTTACAGAAATGTGAACCAGCCAAAGTCTGAGAGTACTTTTCTAACACACCTGATGAGTCAGTCTAATGAAGTCACTGAACCCATCCACATACATTAAGAGCTTTTGAACAGGCTCAAAAACTCCCATAACAAAACAACGTGACTGAAACCAAGAACGGACTGTGGAAAACACAATGGAAACGGGACGATGACAGACCCTCTTCTTCAAGCCAACGTGATGACAATGGAGAGTTTTAAAACAACAAAGCCTGCAATTACTTTCCAAGTGGAGAACAGAAGGTTCTCTGGATATGTGTGTCTTGTTTAGAAGGAAGGAGTTAGGGCTTTGGAATTCTAACGGAAATGGAGAGGATACAGGTGAGGTGAGAAGACGGGCTGCTCAGAGAGGGGAACCCCAGCCTCCCCTGGAGACTAAACAGTGGGAAGACACTCACACGCCCCAGACAGCCATGACAGCACCCCTGCAAGACACAATGCCGCTTCACCCATGGACTCAGGCCAGTCAGAACCAAGGTCCTGCCACCCTGAATCCAGAGCCGCAGGTGAGTTACCTGTGGAGAGCTGGGTGGGGAGGGGGTTCATCTCCTTGTCCACCATCTTCTGGTACAAAGCCCTCAGGCTGAACGGCTCCACCGTGAAAGGCAGGGTCCCCGTCAACATGGCGTACATGTTCACACCTCTGAAAAGAGACACCAAAGCGTGAGGCCAGGGCGAGGYCCCAGGTGAGGAGGACAAAGAGGACACAGGCTTAGTCCACGCTTCCATGCTGTTGCTTCCACAGTTCTCCTTCCTGGTCATCTTTCTAGAACCCGCAGCACCAYGTCCAAGCACCCACACTGAAGGGCTCGGGGGAGGACAGGACTCCAGAGACGGGCAGGAGCGTGAAGAACTTCCAGACCTGCCTCCTCAGGAGGGGAAACCACATCCCTCTCTGCTCTCTGACATGAATGGGTTGAGCATCCCTAATGGGAACCCCCCCACACACCAAATTCTCCAAACTCAGAAACTTTACCGAGCCTCAATTGGCCACCACAGGTGGAAACCCTACCTCTGATCTCATGTGACAGGTCAATCAGAACACGGGTTCACTACACGTGTGACAGAGTTACCTTCAGTGGACACGAAACATCCATTCAGTGATTCGACTCGGGCCTTGTCCCCCACATATCTCATTATGTACATGCAAAGATTCTAAAATCTGGAAAATATCCCAAATCCCCAAAATTCAGGTCTCAAGCATTTCAGAAGTGGTCCAGCCACGATGCAATGGTTCCAAGTGTGCTTTACAAGGTGGAATCTACAAGTGGCCAGGCAGACCAAAACATCCAGGGCAAGACCTGCCTGTGAGCACCCCGATCCATGAGCTCACCAGGTTACCAACCAGGCCTTTGAAACCAGGTTAACCATCAGCCCTCGGAAAACCAGTGTGTGGCTCTTCTCTTGAGTTTTTCTTTGGTTTCTCACTAGAGGAAACTCCTTTCCACCCCCATTCTTACTTTACTCCTTATTGTGAGACCCTGTCACCCAGCGCTGGCCCCAAACCTCAGCTACAGTCAAAATACCTTCTGAGTAGGCCTAACTGCTGATATCCACAGCCCATCTAGAGAACAGCAACATCTTCTCGGAGGGTTTCTATCTTCCTGATGTGCAAGCCTAATATCATTTTGATGAGATTTCCTGAAGGGGATGAAATGCCTGCCTGCCAAGAGGTCTCCACCGTTCAAAAGCACCCAGGGGAATATGTTTTAAAAACAGGCAGTAGGATTGCCAGTCAAAACAAATCCGATGACACTGATTGAAATTAAGACCCTGGAGGCCTCATTCCACAGAGGCGCCTCTGAATGACGGCATTCCAGATAATGACAGGTACCGGAGCCCACGGGCTCCGAYTAGAAATCATTCTCAAATTTCAGACACACAGTAAAAGGCAGTTCCTGCTCTGAACTCACAGCAGAGTGAGGGAGACAGTTACACAAATGTTCATTCCACAAATTCCTGCCGGATGCCTCTCTGCCCACACAGGGTTGTAGGTACCCGAGAAGGACGTCGCCGTCTTGGATTTGGGGTTGGGGAGAAGCAGGCACTTGGATACACAGATAACTAAGCACATCCTTTCAAGTGCACAGGAAGTAAGAAAATGCTGAACTGAGCTGCTTTTGACGGCCACTAGCAGCAGTTCAATGAAGGGAGAGGAAGGGTAGACCCACAGGCACAGGAAGACAGGGAGGCCTCCCGGGTGGTGAGTACCGAGGGTACGAGCTTCTACTTGTAAATATCTCTGGCTGGCTGGAGGTGAAGAGGGGGAGAGGAATGGCATAAATCAAGAAATGGAGATAAGAACAGACAAGGCAGCCATTTACAGCAGCAATTCTCACTGTGGGTTCAACGAATCTCACTGCCCAGGATATGCACAGATGCGAAATGAACACAAATGAGGGCCAAAGTGGGGAGTAGATCTCTCCTGTAAATGGATTAAAGGGGTTCAGAATGGGGAGCAGGAGACTGGCCGCAGAGGCAGTGATCACCATTGATGTCGGAATGAAAGCAATGGCACAGAATAGACAGAGAAAGCAAATCAGCAGCATCTGAAGGGGACACGCAAAACCGCCATCGTGGAACACCAGCTACGGTGGCCACAGAGGGACAACGGAGGAGGCTGAGAGAGCAATTTTAGGGGTGGAGGGAAGAAGCGTGAGGGTTGGAAACAGGTTTGAGAACCTACTACACAATGCTGCATTTAAGATAGGTTTGAGATAAAACCAAACACCTTTACCTTGAAGGATTTTTGGAGATTTTGATAAGAGAAAAAACTTAGCAGAAAAATTCTAAAATTTATAAATATGAAGAGGCTTTAATGGACGTCACCCTCTAGCACATCCCAGAAAGTTGATGGGAAGCACTGAACAGCCTCAAGGGCAAGCACCCACCCTCCCTAAGGCATCCTGATCCACTTAGGACAGCTCTGCAGGAGGAAGGGCTTCCAACCCTAGGCCAAGGTCGACATCCCCCATGCTTCAGTTCTGGAACAAGATCAGCTGCTCTTCCGTGGTCAGCACTTGACACGTTTGGAAGCTGGAAGCAGGACCTCCCCTCCCCAGGCCCTTTGCCTGTGCTTCATGTGCCATGGCTTAGAGTCCCATCCACAACCTGGCTCTCTGCCCTGAAAACACACCAGCTGGTTCATGTACTTAATGAATTTTAAAGTTTTCATGCTATAGAACAAATTCCTAATATGGAAACAGAATCTGATTGAATTGAACTTAAGGGCAAAAAATAAAAATAAAATAGAAATGTTTTTAAAGGGTTCTACCCCTGCTCACTTGCGAGCATCTTGTCTCCAACCTTCACACTAAAGCTAAAGAGGCTGGTGTCTTATAATGTCCCACCCATGCGGTGCTTCTGAAATTGAGGTACACAGGCATGTTCTCTAGGGTTCAACAGTTCTTATTTTGATTTTCTTTTTGATGATGCACACGTGCACGTACACACACACACACACACACAAACATTTTGTAAACCAGAACGAGGGCACCAACAGGACCATCACATAACCAAAACCCTCCCCTGTACACAGAATTTCAGTGCTGCTTTGGCAAGGCTGTTTAAAGAAGCACGATTTTTACCAAGACATATCCCTTTCACGGTCACAGCCTAATGGGAACAGAGCAGAAGTGAAGCTTCTGGGCTTATATCTGTGGAAAAGATATATATATATTCCTGGCAGCTGGAACAGTGCAGTGGTTCCCAAAGGGTGTCTCCCACTTCTGCAACATCAGCAAGAGCTTGTGTTGTAACCTTCCAGGTGCTTCTGTTGCACACTCAGTTTGAAAGCCATCGGAAGATGAAAAGTGGTGGAGAACTGAGGCCCAGCAGGGAGACTGCACTCAACAACTCAGCTCCCCGGACCATCCGCCACTGCGTCTCATTAGTGTTGCTTATTTGGAAAACTTGGGGGTCCTTTTAGTCTGGTCAATTTAACTTGTAAATTTTGGTTTGGGCAGAGGAGTTTGATTTTGGATTCATGAACCTGTAAGTCACATTTAAATAAAAAATAACCTAAGTCGACAGGTGAGATGATCAAGAACGTGATTCCTTTAAAAAGAGTGTGCACTCCTCAAGTTTGAAGACCTTTTATACGCCCTTTGTCTTCCTGTCATGGGTGGAGTGGATCCAACCTGCAGGATGCTGTGGCCAGGGGGCTAGTACCCAGTTGAAGAGGTTTGGGGAGTATATGGGGCCCACTCTAAAGCTCTATGAAAGTTTCTTTAAGGAGACCTGGGGGTGCCAAACTGCTTGCCTCCTTGTCACTGAGTAGCTTCTAAAGATGACTGACTCTCCAGTCATTGCCTACTACAGTTGCCTTTGCCTCTCTGTTGTCTGGCTTGGGCCACAGATAAAGATGACAGATGCTGTCTGAAAAGATGGCTCCAGGGAGCTCCATGGTCCAACCAGGGTCCAGCAAGTGGTTTCTATGGAAACACTTGATTACCAACTGGACACTAGAATTCCACTTCTCTTAGAGGAGTCAATCATCACATATCCTTAAAGAACTTTCTTATCCCAGAGTCTTTCATTTAAAATATGGGAATAACAATGGCACCTACCTCCCAGGTCAAATGGAGGTCAAACAAAGGAAACCATAGAGAGAGAACCAAACGCTGAGCCTGGTAAAAATTAAGTGCTCAGTGCATGTGATCTGTGGCTTCATTTTTAAAAAAAATATTTTAAAAAACAACAGGAAACATTATATTTGTGTCCTGTAGCCAAATAATCATGGAAACCTACATTAGTAGTCAGAAAACTCCAGATGTCAAAAAGGAAACCACCAGACGGGGCATCTGAATTCCTCTCCCCTGGAGTTTCAAACATGTTTCATGTCTGGATAAAGAGAAATGCAGTCCCTTTGACGTTTGACAAGTGTGCAGAAATACCAAGGGGAAACATGGAATGCAGTTGATAAACCTCCGTAATCCCATGGAATTAGGAGGAGTTCCCAAACATGTTCAGAATTTCCTGACGGGTCTTTGAAATACGGCTCAGGGGCTTCCTAGGTTCTCTGTGGCAGACATGGGACTCCTAAGAATTGAAGATAGTTTTGAAGAAAGGAATAATTAGAGATAGGAATGAGGGAGATCAACCAGCTAATGCTGCTAGCATGTTTCCAAGCAGAAGGAAATATCGGTGAGTCATTGTTGGATGGGAAAAAAACCCAAAGGAGACTGGACCGTGGAATCCTCTGATGTTGAAGGAGAAAGAAAGAGTGAGGTTAAGGGACTGAAGGAAGGAAAGAGGCCCATGAGGCACAAAGGTGGAGGATTTGAAGTTACGTCAGAAGCTAAGTGGTGGTCCTAGTGTTTAGTCGAGACACAAAGACATTTCCTGAAGGAAAATCTGGGGTCAAACTGCCATCCCAGAGAGGAAAGACATAGACTCGCTGCTCCCTGGAGAAGTCTCCAGAAACTTTACCAAGATGCAAGGGACACAGCAACTGGCAGCAGTGCACTGGAAGGAACAGATCCTGTGTCCTCACAGGGTACACAGAAGGGGGTCTCAACAACCACCCAGAGAGAGCTGGAGTGCAGCTAGGAGAAGCTCCCAGATACATACACCTTGCTTCTGTGAGTCTTCCAGGAAGGAACCTCCTTGGAAAAATGAGAATACACTCCACCTGAAAGCAATACCCTCCCATTTTTCACTATCAATTTTCAATAATATAACTTTCAACTTAAGGTCTTAGAAGAAGAAGAGGCACAGATCCATCTCTTTAGATAATCTCACTCTTCAATCCTGCTCCATAAATGCTCTATGGATTTTCTTGTGGGTTTCAAGACTTGTGTTTCCATTTCTTTCCCCCTTCACCTCTCCTATTGGAAATGCTCATGTCAGCTGCCAAAAGGGGGGGGGGGGCTTGGGTTTTATAACTTTGAAAGCTCAAAAGCTTTCAGACTTTTTATAACTTTTAAAAGTCAAAAGCCCTGAACTTTCCAAAAGCAGCATAAGTCTCTTTCCACCTCCTTTCTCCAGTCATCCTTCATTTTGAGGGAGTGTGAGGGGAGGAAAAAATCCTTCTACACCTGATTCCTGCTAAGAGCCGGTGGTATCTGATGGTACTTTTACCAAGCACTGAGTCTGAGGCCTGAAACAAATTCTCCCACTCTGCATCCTGGGTGTCCAGTTCTCATGGAAATGGGAGACCTGGGAACAAACAAGATGGCGCCTCTCGGTCAATTATCTACTCAAAGATGTGGGAGACTGGCAGAGATTTTTTTCTCACTCAGCGAAAATAAATTCAGTAAGCGAAGGAGGTGACTTGGGTGTGCCATGCGTGACTCTCCATGAGGCACTCTGCCTTCACCCAATGTTCCATCCATTCCAGAAACCCCCCAGGACAGCAAAGAGCAGCTCCGATGTAGGAAAGGTTGCAGTCTCCATTCTTTGGGACAGAACTCTGACAGTCCATTGTCCTTACCCTAAGAGGCTCACAGATGTTCTTAAACAAGCCTTGTCATATTCCTAACACAAAGTTGATTTTGATTCTTTTCAACCAAAAAGTATATCTGCATTAAATTTTTTTTAAAATTAGCATATATACCATTCTAGAAAAGGATCAATTAGCAACAGTAAAGATTTGATGCACCAGTATGAACATCTTGGTTTTGTGGGTAAAGTCTCAAAGTTCAATGGAGATTTTAGACAGTGTATGTGTGTGTGTGTGTGTGTGTGTGTGTGTGTGTGTGTATGTGTGTGTATGTATTTTAGTCATCCAAAGTAAAGGAAAAAAGTGAGTAATTTTAAGGATATTTTTTATGGTCCTGAAAATAATGGAAAATCTCTAAGGAAGAGCACATTTCCATTTCCCCAGTTAACTCCTGTTTCACTAGAAGTGTTCCAGGGACCCTGCGTGTGGGAAAGAGCTTCCCAAGGTTCCCTGGCATAGCAGGCTGGTTTTCCTCCTGAGTCAGTGTTCCACTTAGGTTAAGTCTCTGTCARCCACTAGAATCTAAAACCTCTGTACAGGGGAATTTTGATCTTGGAAGGGAACTCTTCATTCTGTTGTTGTTTCAGAGCAATGAAAAGAGAAGATATTTCATAACCACAGAGTCTAACCCAGGGAGAAAATTGGCTCCATTTTTGCTTTTGTCTTAAACAGGCTTTTAAATTAAATTCTCTTTGGGTTTTCYATTTGCAATTCTGTTGGCAAAGCTGTGGGCACCAAATGGTAAGCCTAACCTGTATCTCAGACACAATACCCTAAGGCAGTGGAAAATCAATCTCTTAAAGAAGCTCTGAAGTCCTGATTCTCACCAAGATGAAGCGCACTGGTAGTCGGATGTCCCGTACCTCCTGGCCTTTGCACATGCTGTACCCTCTACTTGGAAGGCATCCTCTCTCCTTCTCCACCTGGCCAGCTCCACTCATCCCGCAGAGGCAGATGAAGCCTCCCCTGAAGCTTTCTTGACTCACCCCAGCAGTACACCTGTATTTGCTCCTCTGCTCCACCTGACACATTGTATTTGTATACAGTTAAGACTCACAAGCAAGTAGCTACCTCAGATAGCTTGGATGATATTATGGTTTGAATAAATGTCCCCCAAATGTCCATGTGCTAAACATTTGGTCCCCAGGGTAGGATTATTGGGAGGTGACCTTGAGGAGGTACTAATGTCATTGCGGGTACATCCTTGAAAAAGACTGTGAGACTCTATCCCTTCCTCTTTTCTCTTTGYTCCCTRGCTTATGAAGTCAGTAGTCTTGCTCTGCCACATACCCATAGTAATCGGCTGCATTGCTACTGCCCAACAGAGCCCATCAATCATAGCCTGGAGCCTCCAAAAATGTGAGCCAAATTAAACCTTTCCTCTTTATAAGTTAATGATCTCAGATATTTTGTTATAGTATAAAAAGCTGACTAACACAGGCTGCTATAACAAAATGCCACAGGTTGGCTGGCTCAAACAACAGACATCTGTTTTCTCACAATTCTGGAAGCTATCAGCACAAGATCAGGGTACCAGCAAGGTTGGGTTCTGGAAAGAACCCTCTTCCTAGTCTGCTGGATTCTTGTGAGAATGGTCTTCCTAGCTTTCTGTCCCCTCACAAGGCACAGAGAATAGAAGCTCTCTGGTGTCTCTTATAAGGACTAATTCCATCATGGCGCCCCACCTTATGACCTCATCTAAACCCAATTAACTATGTAGGGCCCCATCTCCAATATCACCACATTGAGGGTTATGGGTTCAGTATATAAATTGGGAGTAGAGGGTACAACTCAGTTCATAGAGGTAGGTAAGTGTTTACAGTGCAGACACACACACACACACACACACACACACACACACACAGCTATAGTTTTTGGCCACACCTCAACAAGGGGTGAGGTCTACCTCTCCTCCTGACTTAAAGCCTACTCATGCAACTGGCTTGGCCAAATGGGACATTAGCAGACATGAGAGATTCACCTGGAAAGGTCTCGTGCCCTTGAGTTTGCCCTCTCACATAAATGCAATTCTACRCATTTTCTGCTTTCGTGTGTGCCTCCACGAACTGGAAAACCACATGGTATTTTGCCACTTGTCTAGGACTTTTGCATCCACGACTGTATTTCACCAGGACTAAGAATGTGACCTCTTAGAGCKTTTCTGGGCACCTGCAGCTGCACGTCACCTTCTTGGAGGAAAAACAATGCAATAAAGCAGGGGTAGTCGGAAATGTCCAGCTGCCCCAGGAGTGACCCCACCATGCCAGGAGCCAGGGTTGGGGAGGGAAGTGAGCTGCTCCCTGGCTGGAAGCCACAGACCCCAGAGCRTCCAGGCATCCGGGTCTGATATCATCTCTGTCCCTCTCAGCCGATGCCACCATTCCTTCTAGGTAGAGGCACTGTTTCTGCTTAATGGACAGAGAAGGTGGCAAGGGGCCACGAGGGTTGGAAAGAGCCTTCACGGGGGAGCAGGCTGCTTTCTTTTAATCATGGAGCCTGACGCGGAGAAACACAGTGTCTGCGGTTACTAAAAATGAACTCTTTTCCCTGGTCAAGCCACCTGGCAGGAGGAGCAAGAACAAAGCCTGACCTTTCTGCCGCTGGGGCTTTTCATCTCCTGTCGCCTCCCTCCAGACAGATAACTGATTCACTTCCATGTCGCAGTGAGCGGAGGAGACAGAAGTCCCAGGCTGAGCACAAAGCCCGCTGTGCCTCTCGTCGGGAGGCCCAGCCTGGGTGCCTCCTGCGGCCCTTCCTCCTGCTCGCATTCTAGACTTGGGGGAGATGCCTGCTTCGCCTGACACGGTCTAGAGAAGGCCCCCTTCCTCAGGCTGAGCCTCTTCAGTCTGAGGATTAGAGACCACACAGCAGGGACCGTCCCCTTAGGTCCCCTGCTCCCTAACCTACCAACCTCTCTTCCTCTTTGGTCATCAGGTCTCCCTGTCCCCAGTCACAGGACACCCTCGGAGGCTCTGCTGGAATCTCAGGTTCCCAGRGTCCCATCTATGTATTTACTCATTCACAGACTCTCCCCTCCACCGTCTTCTACTGAGCCTAAAGAGTTCCCCAACTATTCCAGAACCATCCCCTCTGACGGGCGGAGACAGACCTTCATGGTCAAACAGGAAATGACAGGCAGGGACAGGTGTCAAAGAGGACATGAACAGGGTGAGGAGAGCCCGGGGTCCTCCAGCAGGGCGCTAGAGAGTGTGGCAGGGGGGCTGCTGGATTATGGCTGGAATGTAGGGACAGGTGGGCCATTTGAAGGGCTAGGAACAGCAGATTAGGCACAGGAAATAGCAGGTGCAAACCCCAGAGGTGGACAAGGTGAAAGGGTGGTGGAATGTCTGAGGAATCCCGGGTGGAGGGCGAGGTAGGGCTCAGAGAGGCCAGAGAAGCAGGCAGAAGTGAGATGAGGCTTTATGCTCGGAAAGTCACAGCTGGATCTTAAGTCGGACCTAAGTGGCTCGTGCAACCAGAGTGTGAGGTCCGTGAGTGCAGGACCTGGTTTTCTTCTCCTCCCCCAGCATCTTAAGGAATTTAGGTCATGGCCATTCTGACAGTTTATACAGAAAAGACTAGAAGGAACAGAGAAGGAAAGCCAGGTTCCAAAGAATCACTGATGACATGTTCCAGAACCTTTCCTAAACACATTCTCTGCAAATACGGAAGAAYCATCGGAGAGGAGCAGCAGAGACAGCAGGAGGGAACACTGACTTGTACACGCTCCATCACTCACATGGACCAGACGTCGATTTTGGGGCCGTATTTCTTCCTGGCCAGCAGTTCTGGTGCGGCGTAGGCGGGGCTGCCACACTGTGTGCTGAACGGGTCGGAGTAGCCCAGGATCCCCGCGCAGTTGCTCAAGCCAAAGTCTGCAAAGAGGAGARGATAGAATCACCTCTGCATTAGCAAAATGTGGGCATGGGGGGGGGGGAGGAAAATAATTGAATAAATAGCAGGAAAGGAAACAATCTCTGAGGCTAACRTGTCATTTAGCATCCCACAAGGAAAGCCGGCAGCTGCACACCACAACCTCTGGATAAGGAGACTCAGGGCAAAGGAGMGTCAGGTGGCGGTTCCCTTGCTGAGCTGAACATTTTCCACCCTTCCTACCATAAAATCCAGATACAGTTCACAGCGTGTGGAACCAAAACATATTTCCAACAAGACTTGTAAATGAGTCATCGGGGAAAGCAGAGGTGTGCTTTCTAGGACTAAGGCAGGAAGCGAGAACAGGCCGAGAGGMTGCAGTCCACGTTCTGGCTTCCGGGGGGCCAAGCGGGGGAGAAGGCTGGAGGAGGACGGGCTTTCTCTGGCTGGTTGTGGGCGTCACCCTGGGTGACATGCGATCCCGCCATTGACGGCTGACTTCAGCAGAATGTTTCATTTCATAAGTCTTTTTTGCAAATTCCTCCCTCATGTACGTGGCACCTACAGGGATCTGAAGAGGGAAAAAAAAAATGGAGCCAGCGCTCCGCGTTGGCTGGGAAAAGGATGCTGTCCAGATGTGATGCAAACTAGACCCAGTGACCTCGAGCGGCATGGCTTTGTTCTTGGATGAGGTGGGGAACTGGGCCGAGCTGAGGCAAGCCCAGGGCATCTGAAGCAACTCTGGGTCTACTACGCCTTCTGAGCCTGGTTGACTTTTGATCTTCAAGATAGAGAACTGCCAGGTAATTAGAGAGCTATTAGTGTCACGCCCTCGCCTGATCTTTCCTCAATCTTTGTTTTGATCTCAGAATTAAGATCACGGTTCCTCCTTTGAACTTCAGTCTAAATATTTCGGCCCTACCCSCCGAGACACAGGACTGCAGGCTGCAGGGCTCCGCTGGAGACTGGCTCCGGGTCTGGAACAAAACCCTGGTACTTTCTCAACTGGCACCGAGTTTCATGCCTGTGCTCCCCCTACATGCCACAACGTGCCTCCACGGCGATGAAGAAAGCCGTAGGAAGGCTCTGGAAAGGAGACTCAGCACAGGGGAGCCCACCAAGATCCCCCCACACTGTGGATCAAGATGACATGACTAAAAAGTCCCCCAGCTGCCMCTGGATGCCGCTGTGCAATGAAATAGCCTTTGTAGAAAGAACTCCATCCAATCAGGGCTCCARAACTCTGAAAGGCCCTGGAGACCATCCCCTGGCTCCCACAGAGGAAGAGCGGACAACAGGAATTGGCCAAGCCACCAACCAGGGAGGCTGCGTGTTTGAACACTTAGGTCTTTGGTGTCATCTGGCTCCAGTTGGAGTTTTCTGTCTTCCCCTCCTCCTGCTGCCTTTCTTTGCTCCCTTGGTCTTCCCACCCCCACCCACCTCCTGCCCCACTTCCTTTTCCAGCAGCCCCAACAACACCAGGAGACACCACAGACAGAAAAGCCCCTCAGGAGGCACGGAGGGTCCCTGGGTTCCCATCTTAGGAGGAGCGGTCTATTACAAAGAACCTGATAGACCCTGTTTTCAGACCCTGGGGTCCTAGACTATAATATCTGAAACAGTAGAAGCGTGTTTTTTGTTTTGTTTTGTATTTTTGTTCTCTTTTTGTTTTGGTTTGGTTTTTGGTACTGGGGATTGAATCTAGGGGCACTTTATTCCCTTTTTATTTTTTATTTTGGGATGGGATTAGTGCTGAAGCTACTAGCCTCAAACATGCCATCCTCCTGTCTCAGCCTCCAGAGTTGCTGGGATTACAGGCATGCACCACCACGCCAGGCAAGAAGAGTAAGTATTTTTCTAAGAAGAAAAATCATATCGTGTTTAGCACCGGAGGATTCTTTCATTGCCAAAGGGCATCTAGCATAGAAATACCACCACAGAATAAAGACGGTCGTCTTACTGGGGGTGACATTTTAAGGAAAGCTTCATGAACTGTTACATTAAAGGCCCAATCTCATCATAGGTGACTCAGAGAATCTCTCCCTCAATCTCAGAGATTAAARCAAAAGCCTGGGTTTCTAATCAGCAGGGTTCCCGGAGCAAAAGGCTGCCTCCTTCATTCAGTTCACTTCTTAACACCCCTGATCTGGGGATATAAAAAAGGGTGGGAAAGACCAGATAAGAGACCAGATCACCCTGCATTGTCCAGGCAAGTTAAAAGTCTGGCTTTATCTTAAGCAGTTTCAAGAAGATAAATTAGCAGAGGGTTTGGGGAAGGAACAGAACCTGCCTTTTAAGTGACTTGTGTGGGTCTGGCTAAAAGTTGATTTAACTGAAATGCATGGCAGAGGAACAGCCAGCGTGTTTCACATTTGTAACTGAAATTATTAAAATTTTACACATATGCCTATAATTAGAATCGTGAAGCTAAAGAGAAGTCCGCCTCCCGGTAATGTCACCCAGGTCTGCCTCAATTAGATTTGGTAAATACATAAGCCAATTATCACTCGATTTCCTGAGAACTGCAAAATGAGTCTCAAAAGAGCACCTGAGTGAATGCTGCTTTGAAATATGTACAAAACTGTTCCAAGCCGTGGCTCCCCATTTTGAGATTAAACTAAACTCACAAACATCAGGCTGCTTTTTTTTTTTTTTTTTTTTTGGAAGGGGGAAAAGTCCTGATTAAATCAAATGCTACTCCTGATAATTCTAGTTAATTTGAAACATGGCTTAACTAGATTTATTTAAACCAAATTCTTTCAAAGAAAGAGAAACTTACCAACTACCAAGAGGAAATGATAATAGCTATAATCACCTTTGAAAAACAAGCAGGTAATTCCTTTGAAGGAAAGAGGTTCAAAGGGCTTTCAGACACAAAAAGGCAGCCGGGGAGACTTTGATCTGCATTGCCCAACCCAGAGGCAAGAAAATCCACAAGACCCTGGGCCTTCTTCCCTCAGGAGGGTGGAAGTGCAGATTGTGCTGAACAGAATGCAATTTCCAGCTGCCCCAACGACGACGTCTYTTTCATTTATAGGTGAACATCAGGGCTCTTTAGCTGATCATGGGAGAACTGGGAGCTAATGGAAGAGTTCTAACAGGGAGACCCAGTTTTCAAAGCCTCCTTTCTAGCCATGCTGGAAACCTGGCTTCTAACATCTGGCCATTCTTCCAAGCACTGGGCCTATTTCCTCCTGTTGAGCTGAATTAAGTTTGGCTTAAAGCTTCCTGGGCGCATATTTTAAGTTTGGCCTAAAGGCTTCCGTAGATAGTGAGGTGTAACCTAAAGACGTGTAAACAAACTACAACCTACTCTTCTACAAAGGATCTGAGTCTTAGCCACTCACAAGTCGCCAACTGTTCAAGCCAGGTTCAGGTAAGACAGTTGCGAGCTCTGCAACCAATCAGGCTCTCACACCTCACTTCCATTTTCTGCATGTCACTTCCTTTTCTCTRGCTGTAAATACAACCATTTTTGGTTGGGACTGCTGCCCAACCAAACAGATTGCAAAAACAGACAGATGAGATCTGGAAAGCCATATTCACTTTATTTTTGTTTATTCCAATGACCTGGAATACATGCTTTGGTTCCCATCCAGTGGYTGCCAGCGGAGAGGTGACACCTCTGAAGGATCCAAGTAAAGTAGTTCCTGGTCTCCAAAAAGCAACCCACTAAAATGGGAACTGCCGGCTCTAATTTAGGTACATAATTGCTTCATATTACTGTACAGGTTTCCTCTAAGAGGTTTTATTATTCAGCCAATCTGCAAGCTACTTGTAAATGCATTTGCAATTTACGCTGATTGGTTCTTCCAGAAACATCAGAGCAACCTTCTAATCAATAAAAAGGTCTGTGCTTTTCAACATTGCTTATCCCACAGGGTGTTTTTTTTTTTACATGGTCATCTAGGGCTATTACATGAGGAGAAGAAAGAGGGGGCAAAGCGAAGGAAAGACACAGAACAAGCRATGTTCAATTGGGATCTGGAAACTACCCACAGGTAGACTGCTCCTCACTTGGTTCACCAGCCTGGTGTACCTGATGCCCAGCAGTGCCCAGTGGAAGTGACTCAATCTTTTACTGTAATCTAAATCCAGCATTTACCAAGCCTGTTTTCTTCACAATCTCTGCTGTTACAATAACTCTGTACTCTCACCTCCACATTTTCCAAAATACAGGTCAGCCTTCCAGAAAACCTTTTTAAAAATCTTCTTTCCTCCATGGCTTACCTCCCTCCAGGAGGGTCCTTTGTTTAGGGCTGAGGGTCCCCAAGAGCAGGATCAGAACAACATCCTGCAGACATTTGGCCTTGTCTTATTTCACTGTTTCTGTTTGGTTCTCAGGAAAATTAAATGCAATAATAAAACAACTTAACAAAATGAAAATCCTTAGGATGGTTTATGAATCTGCTAAGAATAGATGCTTTCAAATGCTTTGGGGGAAAAAGGATTGGTTTCCTTTTAACTGTTAATCTCCTAATAATGGGTATATCCATCAACCGCTATCAATGGTGCTCAATCACCCAGCCAAGGGGGCTGGAGTCCCTGCAGCCTCTGCCTGCTTCTGTTGGAGCTGGCTGTGATCCCAAGGTATCTAACAAGTCCTTTCAGTGATAGATTTTGGAGAGTCTTGAGATGATTTTCAACATTTGCTAAACAAAAATCTTAGGTACAAAAATACCAAAATTCACAAAGTTCTATCGATCCTTCTCTTTCCTCTTAACATAAAGCTTTTTCAAGTCATTGGGGTGGGCGAAATTACTTGAGGTGGGAAAAGAGAAAACAGAGGAAAAAAGATGGTGCTAACATCTGGGTGCAAAAGTAAACAAGAGCAACCACACTGGCAAACCACCTAAACAAACAAACAAACAAAAGTGCCTTGATTCTTCTAGAGAAGGAGCAACAGAGCAAATTCCCTTGTGGATCCTGAATTATGAACCAGTGCTGACCCACACTGTCCTGGAGTCTCCTTGCAATTGGTACAGATTCTAATCATCCRTCTGCACGGCCACCACTGTTTCATGGGGCTTGGAGGCTTGGATAAAGATTATATCAAAAGAGAAGCAAGTTCCACCTCTGCTTATCTTGGAAATCCCTAGATTCAATGAAAAGTGGAATGAAACATGGCAAAGTCATAGGCTACATTTCTGAGCCAAACTAATTTCAATTTTTTAAAAATATTTTTTTAGTTGTAGATGGGCAGAATATCTTTATTTTATTTATTTATTTTTTATGTGGTACTGAGGATCGAACCTAGTGCCTCACACATGCGAGGCAAGCGCTCTGCCACTGAGCTACAACCCCAGCCCCCTTTCAACTGTTTTCAAGATCCTTGCTTATTAATCTGAATAAAGATAACATTCATAAAAGTTCAGCTCCATCTCAATTTCAGAAGAGGCTGAACTTTGAATAATCCAAAGAAACACATGGCCAACAAATAACTTATTTGGGACGACGACGAAATTCATTTTCACAACACAAATTACAGTATTTTTATCTTACTAATTATGTTTAAACTATTATTTAAATGAATTATTGAATTACTATCAAATTAATTTTCATTTTCAAAACTATTATTAAATATTAAACATAAAAGAAGGTAATCTAGAATTCTTGCCTAGGGATTACACATAGAAGAACATGGATAATTTTCAAAGTTGAGAATTCACAACACAACCCTTAAAAGATAATGTTGCTTAAAAAAAAAAAAAAAAAGCCATACCAATCAGCTTGATATTATTGTCTTCATCTAGAAGCAAATTTTCTATCTTCAAGTCTCTGAAATAAACAAAACCACACAATATTTCAGATAAGCATTTGAAATAGCGGAAAGACATTTTGCTTCTGAAGGGCAATGAACTGTTTTAGGGTCCCTTCCAACCAACCCATAAAGCTTTCTGCCAAAACTCACTCACTCAGGTAAATATTTATAAGACATGACACAATTCATTGCCACTGACTACAAAAGCTAAAGGATTTCAGAGAGGACAAGAGCATAAAAGAAATCATGAAGTTTCCAGAAGTAGGGCCTCAACTAGAACCTGGAAGCTAAATACAACCAGAATGAGTAGAAACCAGAACGCACCATTCCAGACACCATTCCAGACAGAGGCTCTCTGAGCAGTCGGGAATAAAAACATGCCGTGGGTTTGGGACAGTGAGCAACCTTAGCCAGAGGCAGGAATAAATTTGGAGAAGCAGGTACATCATCATCATCATCATCATCATCATCATCACAATAATAAAAATAATGATAGAAAGCTGACTTATCAGTATGACAACCGCCCTGATTAGAGACGAAGTGTCAGGCAAACTGTTGAGTGAAACTAGATTAATATTAATCTATTTAGCAAGTCGATATGAGCGCGGGCAGAATAATAGAGTCCAGAGAGATCAGCGCTCTAATCCCTGGTGTTCTGCCTGAGGATATGTCAAACCTGACATGGTCAAAGGCAACTGAGTTTGCAGACAGAATAAAGATTGTTCATCAGAGCTGGGGCCCACACCTATAATCCCAGCTATTGGGGAAACTGAGGCAGGAGGATTGCAAGTTCAAGGCCAGCCTCGGCAATTTAGCAAGACCCTGTCTCAAAATTTAAAAATGAAAAGGGCTGGGGTGTGGCTCAGTGGGTAAGAACCTCTGAGTTCAATCCTGGTACCAAAAAATAAAAAATAAAAATCTATGTCAATTATAAACTCTGGCACCAACTCTGGACACACCCTGAATGTTAATGATGTAAGAATATTTTTCTCTTTCATAACACACATACGCACACATTCTCTTTCCCCATTGTTTTGAAACAGTCCACTCTTGGTCCGGCTTTTGTTTTTACATTTGAATAGTGAGACAGGGGTGGTGGTGGGGGACTCCTTTTCTTCTTATCTCTGTTGTATGGAACGGAGTATCATAATCATGATAAAACGAAAATGGCAGCTGATATGTGGCTTCAATGTCTAGAAACCAAAGAGAATAGTAACTAGGGCTGTCTGTGGTAAACAGGACAAACGGTGTCCCATGTAATAGGGACAGKGGCTCAAAGGCTGCTCCCAGTCCTGCCAGCTTATCCCACTTTCAAAGAGAAGCCAGATTTGTGGATTTGGTTTCAATTTTTAAATCTTGGCAACAAACTCACATTTAAAACAATAACAACACTATGTGAGCCAACCTCGCAGGCAAGATACGGCCTGCCCAGTACCAATTTCCAACCTTCATAGGGGTAGAAACTGAAGTTTTGAAAGGGCTTGTGGTTGCCCAGGAAAAGGAGAAAGAAATGAGAGAAAAAGGACCAAGAAGCACAGGTGACCGGGAGGGCAGGGCCATCCACAGTCAGGGAGGCAGGACAGCAGCTGGCCAGGCTGTTCTGAAAGGAACCATCAAGGGTGGGATTTCAAGACAGGAAGAGGATTTAAGGAGTCAAATGGAGAAAAAAGCTAAGCTCTACAAAGTGTCCAATGGATTTGAAATTGGAAGGCGGCCTTGGGTTGGATACGTGGATGAGAGGAAAGATCTCTGTTAAAAACGCCCGGCTCAGGATTATAATGGATTATTCCCACCTAAATGCACTCACAAGTGGAAAGGACCGTCTACTTCACCAGCTTCAAGGAAAACAGTACACAGTGTACATCAAAACCACGGCTGCCTTTAAAAGGTGTCACAAATGTCCAAATACCATGCGACCCAAATATAAAGTGACCCCTATTCCTTCTTCCAAGAGGAAGACCTTGCCCCCTAGAATGTGGTGGAGGGTGGGTTGGAAAACAGAGATACATAATTTTAGGAATGGAATGAAATCATCAGAGGACYATGGCTATTATTTATGAAGCGACACCATCATATTTAGATTATCTGCTCTCAGCAGAATTTAATTTTCAAAATACTATTTCCACATACCCTCCTGTTTCATGAAATAACGTTATTCAAATTTGTCAAGGCAGAATAAAAGTGGCCCCCTCCGTCACTGGACGATGTTTCTGGTGGAAAGTGATCTTTCTCTTGACGATAAGTTTGCAATAAAGCATTTCTGGAGCCTGAGTCTGATACACTTGCTAGAAATCTGATCCCGGTCCTTCAACGGCCACTTAAATTGGATGTAAATGAACCACTCAGGGAAATGCTGTCATAGCAGGCTCTCAAACTGTCRCCCCCGTGAGGCCATACCTCTAGAAGTTGTGATTAAAGCCACCCAGCGCCTCTCTTCCTACCAGATTTCTCGGGTGACATCTAGAGCATCCAGAGTCATCAAAGAATCCAATCAAGGCCGATGTGTCTTCTCCAACTAGTACTGCATTGTTAAGGAAAAAATAATTTCATAATAAAATAATATGAGAGCTGGACATGGTGGCTCAAGCCTGTAATCCCAGCAGTTCCGGAGGTTGAGGCAGGAGGATGGCCTTAGCAACTTAGTAAGGCCCTAAGCAACTCAGCGAGACCCTGCCTCCAGTAAAATATTTAAAAAGGGTTGGGGATGTGGCTTGGTGGCTAAAAGCCCCAGGGTTCAATCCCTGGTACCAAATAAATGAATGAATTAATTAATTAATTAATAATATGAGAGGTTCATGAGCATGCTTCCTCTTTCCCAAAGATCATTAAGACATGATAGAAGCGTGGCTTCTACTCAAACAGTAACTTTAAAACACACACACACACACACACACACACACAAACACACACACACACAAACACACACACACACACACACACACACAAACACACACACACACACACACACACACGAGTGTCGGCCCAAACTGTAATTCTGTGAAAACTGATTATATAGCAGCAGCCCTGTTTAAGTCTGAAGAGACACTACAGTGTGTTTTGAGTGAAATTCAACCTCTTTGCCTGGGAAGAACAGAAGGCACACTAAGTCACCAGGAAAAATTTGGTTCAAAACAAACAGGGAGGAGAAAAACATCTTAAAGAGAATAGGTAAACGCAAGTAATTGCCAAGAATAATAAAAGTCAGCTGGGTCATTCTGGGGCGGCAAAAAGTCCAGAGAACCAGAACAATGATCAGAAGAATGGTATGAATGRGAAACTCAAAAGAAGAGATAAGGCAGCAACCACAGGAAAAGCACCCATTTTTAAAATCCAGGAAAGGTCGTAAACCAGGGGAGGATGTATAAAAACATGATTATTAGGCAAAAATGAGAAAAATAAAATCAGTTCAAAGCCACTACCTTCCCACTCAGCTTCCCAAAGTAACCAACCCCAACCCCTAGGAAAAAGTGGCGAGAACAAGCCCAGGTAACCAGGGCACTTACCCAATCACACTGTGTCCAGGAGTCTAAGGTTTCCCATCACCTGTCTGACTGCCTGAGGCTAGTTTATGGGAAAGGGCAATCAGTGGGCGAGACCTGCCCCATGAAAGAAGCACTCAACCTGCCTCCTTTGCTTGCTTTATCTCCACCTCCACGACTACAGATGTTTTTAAAGTAGCTTTTAGAAATTTTTCCCTTTTGTAAGAAATTCAGATGAAGAATGCTGTGGCTACCACCAGCTGCCCCTAGGCTGTCCACCGTGGGGCATCCTTAGTGCCTGAAGTTATTACCTAAGTCTCTTCGGCACAGTGGGCCACCCAGGCCCTCTGCCCAGCTATTCAACAATCATCAAATGATCCCAAGGGATCACGTAATAAGAGACATCTTGAATACAAAAGGAAGTTATTCATCATGTTTCGGTGTGAGTGTATTACAATATACCTTTAGAAAACACTAGCAGGACTCTCTTATCCAGGAAACTGGCTCCATCAGAAAACCTGCTGCGGTCCAAGTGGAAAGTGTGGTATTTCCTCTAGCTCCATCCCAAGGGCAAAATATTTGGCTCTGTTATGTGTCAGATCTGCTCTGTGGGACAGAAGGCAGGGATGGCAGACCAGCGCACGCTTGGTGATAGGGGCTGGGAGGAGCGCCCGTGTCACACCAATCTTCCGATCAACCGMTCTGCAGAGGGGAGAGAGAACTCTTCCTTCAGTCTTGCAATCTGAAGAGTTCCTCCGCATGGGAGGTAAACGTGAAGCTCTGGGTTAATTTCTAACTGGAAACCAAGGGAAGGGCCCCAGGATGGATGAAAAATAGCTTTTCCTTGGCCCTACAGGCTTCAAAAGAGGAGCAAGTCTTATTTCACTGAATACAACGTCCTCCGGGTGCATGCCTATTGCCACCAAGGACAGGAGTCCATTCTTCTTATGGTCGAGTCGCGTCCTGATATGTACCTATACCTTTTCCTTACTCATTCATCTGTCGATGGACGCCTCGGTTGGTTCCCCAGTTGTGGCCAGTGCCACAGTAAACACGGGGTGCTGGCATCTGCTCGACATGCTGATTTCCTTTCCTTAAATAAGCTAAATACTGCATGTTCACAAGCACTTGTGGAAGCTCAACAAGCTGACCTCATAGAAATAGAAAGAATAGTAGCTACCAGGGAAGGGGCTGGGAGGGGGAGAGAGAGAGACGAGTGATCAGGAACAAAGTCACAGTGAGATGTGAGGCTGGCGTTGCACGGCAGCGTGGGGCGACGCCAGTTAACAATAATTTGCTGCAGATTTCAAAATACCCAGAAGACAGGATTTTGAAGGTTCTTACCACAGGAAATGAGAAACGTGGAGGTGGTGGATATGGCGGCTACCCTCATCTGGTCCTTTCCACACTGCACACGTGTCCAAACAGCACACTGCACCCCAATAAATAGGTACAATTACGTGCTGATTAAAAATAAATGTAAATAAAGAAAAATGAAGAACTTTTAAAACTTAAAATAAGAGAACCTTGGGAAACAA